GTGTGACGTCAAGGGAAACGCAACCCTGAGCTTTGGTGACATGGCTGGCAGCATCCTGGGACCCAAGCGGAGAGTTCTCAGCACCTCCCAGGATCAGACCTTTTGTCCTGACCGATTCTTTAGTTTAATGGATGGGGGGGGGTGGATGAGGTTGTTTCTGGAATCCGTCTTCATTCCTCTCTCCTCCCTGCAACACTCCCCAAGGGAAATCAGGAAGGCTTTGTGTTATTGTGCAGCTGGCCAGAATCCTGGGGCTGGAGCTGCCCCGACCCCCTGCCTCCTGAAAGCCCAGAGGGTGGGGAAATCAGGTTCGTTTCCATTTCAATAGCTGGGGGAAATGGAGTGAACTGCACTTCTTTGCAGGCTCTCAAGTGCGCTTTGTCACGGCAATGGCAGTAAAACAGAGGCCATCTGAAAAAGGCCCCTATTGACAGCCTGCAAGGCGTGAACAATCTTCTCTGCCATAAAGGCACCAGCTCGCTGCATGGCCCACCCGAGACAAAGGGAATGAACCAGCCCAGAAAATGCTATTCAGCCCTTTTACTTGCAGCGATTAAAACCCAGAGCCAAGCCCTGTCTTCGCCCCTCCCCCCACAGTCCTGGCTACCACCACCCCCGACACACCAGCTCTGCACCGCAGACACGCTTGCTCACGCTCTGTTACCACATCCACAGCAACCCCCCCAGGCTGCTACCCACCTCTCCAGGCCCAGGGCTCACTTGCACACCCCTGCGTCACCAGTCCTCCCCAGACAGGCGCCTGGCAAGGCCCAGGGACATTTGCCTGGATCAGGCTCAACAATCAATTGGCCTGGAAGGAAGCATAATTGTGCATGGCAGCGTGACCCACCTTAGAGCCAGCTGGTGCCCACCTGCTAGTCTGGGCTCTGTTCACAGTCACCACGGCCCGGCCTGGTTCACCACCGCCCAGTGGCTTGCACTTATCCTAGTGCAAAAGGCTGCCTCCGCCTGTCATTCTCATTTTAGCCCTCCAGGAATGGAGACCCCCTGAGCATAAGGGACCCACCCCAGGCATGGCAAGAACAACTGTGTGGGAGTATTAGGGAAATGTGAGTGTGCAGGGTTTCTGCAGCACCTAGCCAGGAGAACCTCTTCCTGCCCCACTCTGGGAAAGCCTGGAGATCACACTGGCAGCTGGAGGAACTGGAAGAGCAGAGGGGAAGGGGGCGGGGAGGTAGAGGGGGGCTCTGGGAAGGGGCTGCAACAGGAGGGGAAAGGGAACAATGGGTCTGCAACTGCCTGGAAGATGAATGGCAAAGACTTTCCCCGTCACTGGGCTGGCGGGAGAGGGGGGTGGCGGGTTGTGTTCCTCACCCAGAAGGGTGGTAGAAGCGCTGCGCAGCGCCTGCATTTCGCACCGGGGAGCTGACCGCGGAGTGCACCGGGACCAGGGGAGAACGCGCAAGTGGGGGCGCGCAACCGAGGGCCTGACTCCATCGTGCACAGCACAGCGGGGCGTGCCACCGGGTGACTAGGATCCGACGGCCCCTTGCCCCACGACCGAGGACCCGCCACCGGCCCCTGCACTGGGTCCTTCGAGTCACCTGGAGCCGGCCCGCTAGGAGCAGGCGGCCGCTGTTGCCCC